TGCAGCAGCTCGTGATCCGTCATGCTCAGCCGCTGCCGCGCTAGTGCTGCCGCGTCCATCAGCCTAACGAGGGAAAAGTGGAGACGAGGAGAAGGATGGAGAGACAAGATGCTTGGCTGGCATGCAAAGAATCAAGGGAGGGCTGCTGAGCTGACATTCGACATGCTGGAGCAGACAAAGCAGCAGGATGAGACGAAGTGTCAGGTTGTGTTGCCTGTACCTGGTGGGCGGCAGCACGAATCGGTCTATCTGAGTGTCGTAGAAGCGGGTGAGGCGGCCTTGGGGACAGAGAGGGCCGCACAGAGCGGTGCAGAGCGGTGCCAGCGCGGTGGGGGGAAGGGTGGAGAGCAGAGAGGGAGAGGATGCGAGTGGGGGCAGGGAGGGAGACGGCGAAGAGGAAAGGAGGGGGGAGAATGAGGAGGAGGAAGGAGAGGAGAGGAGAGGGAGAGGAGGAGGAGAGAGAGGAGGGAATGAGAGGGGAGGAAGAGGGAGTGCTGTGAGCGCGTGTGCTGCCCGCGCCAGTGCTGCCAGGAGTACCACCGCTAGCCGGACTGCCACCAATGCCAGCAGCATCAGCTGGCCGCCCTTTCTCAGGCGTGCAAGGATTTCCCTCATTACACAGCCCCTCCCGCCTCTCCCCTCGCGCCCCTCCGCCACCAACCGCTCCTCCTCCCCCGACACCCCTCCCCACCACCCACCCGCCTCCCCTTCCGCGTCCCCCCTTCCCCTCCTCCTCCCCCTCGCCCCCTTCCCCAAAGAAGAGCAGCACGGAGCGCAGCACAGCATCAGGCCCGCGCTCCTCTGGGGTGAACACGCGCGGGGAAGCCTCCCCAGACGCCACGTGGACCGCCAGTCCGCGCGTGCGGGGGACAGGGGCGCGGCGGGAGGGGTCCCACGTGGTGTTGAGGGGCAGCAGCGCGAGCGTGCAGAGGTGGAAGGGGCGCGGGAGCGCGTGCAGCGCGGGTCACCAGCGCGCAGGCTACGGGGAGGGACGTGCCCGCGGAGAGAGGGGGGGCCGAAGGGGGCGTTGTCTGGGCGCGAGAGTGAGTAATACAGGTCGTTGGGGGGTGGCGGTGGGAAGCGGAGGAAGCAGAGAAGACGGAGGAAGGTGCAGTGGTGTGTGGTGACGGTCTGGGGTGCCATCCAGGTTTAAGGGATGCATGGGTGCTGTGGCTTGAGACGGCGATGCACTGCCAACGGCACTCCTGCTCCTAATCTTGCTCTCTCTTCTGCTCCTGCTCCTGCGCGCATGCCCCTGTCGCCCCCGCCACTGGCTGCAGGGCTAGTGGCTCGCCTGCGCTTGCAGCCTGACTGGCGCCCACTGCTGCTCCTCTCCAAGTAACCCTGCTGCTGCTGCTGCTTGCTGCTGCTGCTGCTGCTGCCGCATGCGCTCTTGCTCCTGTCGTTCCTGCTCCTCCTCCCACGCGGCGAGGATGCTCTCCGCGTGCCCCGGGTCGTCGTCAAACGCGCCCACCAGGTGCAGCTGCGGGGGGGCAGGAGGGCACGGGGGACGGGGGGAATGCTGTGAATGCTGCTCTTGCCGCTCCTGCCTCTCCTGCTGCTCCTCCCACGCGGCGAGGATGCTCTCCGCGTGCCCTGGGTCGTCGTCAAACGCGCCCATCAGGTGCAGCTGTAAGGGGGAAGGGGTACAGAGGGGCACGGCCGGACGGGCAGAGGAGGGCAGGACGGGGAGAGGAAATGAGAGGCAGGGAGAAGCGGGGATAGGACGGTAGGGAGGAGAGGGAGAGAGGGGAGGCAGTGCAGAGGCATGGCAGTGGATCGCAAACGAGCGAGGCTAAAGCGCGGCAGAGGGAAGAGGCCCAGTGGAGGGAAGCTACTGGTAATGGCTTTGCACGCGCAGCACGCATGTCAGTCCGCACAGAGGAAGCATGCGCCTGCGGCACCATGCCATACCTGTGCGCCACACCCACACGCGCGTCATACCTGCAGGGGAGTCGGATCGTGCGGGGCGAGGCGCAGCGAGGCGAGCATGGCGGCGAGCGCGCGCAGGGCGCAGAGCGACGCGTCCACGTGCGCGAGCGCCGTGCGCCCCGTGCGCGGATGGCGCAGCGCCACGGCCACACACGTGGTCATCTCGTCCGTGCCTATCACGTCAACCAGGTCCACGTCAGCAGTTGCCACCTCAGCTTGCGCCACGTACACCAGCCGCTCCGGCCGTCCCTGCTGCGCCTCACCCCCGTCCGCCTTCCTTGCGCCCTCTTTCGCGCAATCTTCCGCCCCACCGCCGCCCTCCAGTTGCGCGGCGCGCCCCCTCCTCCCGGCCGTGCGTGCGCCGCGCCCTCCCCCTCCCCCTGCCACTGGCGATGGAACAAGTCGCCCTCGCGCCCATTCCATGGCGCTTCCCCCGCTGCTGCTGCCGCTACTGCTTCCCCCGCTGCTGCTGCCGCTACTGCTTCTCCTGCTGCGCCTGCCGCACCTGCTCCATCACAGCCGTCAGCAGTGCTACCAGCAGCCCCGCTACCAGCAGCCCCGCTACCAACAGCATATCCACCAGCTATCCCCGCTGCAGCATCACGCGCTTTAAGCACACTCGCACTCAAACTGCGCCATATCGCGCGGGGCAGCGCACCACTGCCAGCATCACACGTGTCAGCAGCAGATTCCTCGCCACGTGGCGCTCCGAGAGAGCGGCTCCCCACGCCGCCCAGCATGTCCTGCTGCCGGCGCATCCACTCGCCCCCTCCGCCCTCCCGCCCTCGGCACATCGAAACCCCGCTACCAGCATCGGCGCCGCTAATGCCGCCGCCACACGCGGCGCTGATACCGCCGTCACAGTCAGTCGCGTTTCGCAGCTCCCCCATCCCCCCCTCTTCCGCGCCTCCTTGCGCCTCCGCGCATCTCAACGAACACGCGTTGGATTCCTCTGCGCGCGCGGCAGCCAGGCTGGAAGAGCGTGATTCCCCGGGGTTTGCGCCAAGATGCGCGGAAGGAGTCGCGGCGGAGGGAATAGTTGCCGGTGGGGGGCTGCCAGTTGATTGCGTTGCCAGCTGGCCGGCAGCATGACTGTCGGACAAACGATCGTCGCTGCCGCATGCCGGCCGCTCGTTTTCATCTCTTTCCTCGTGCTTCGGTCGGCATGGACCAGGGTCAGGACCGGCTTCCGAGCCTGATCGGCTGGTTCGGCGAAAGAACTCCTCCGAGCCGGCGACGAGGCTCGGGTGCGTGAGTAGGTAACGGAGCAGCGCCGCGCCCTGCGTGGTGCGGGATTCGCGCGAACGGCGGAGGGCGGGGTTGGGGGGAGTGGGGGCGGGGGGGGGGGGAGGGTAGGGCGGGAAAAGAGAGGGTACGGGGAGGGTGGGAGATTGAATGGGGTTGAAGGCGGGAGGAGACGACGGATACGGGCGCACTGACGGAGCCGCGGCGAGTGTTTGAGGCTCACTGCAGCGAGCAAGACGGAATGAACGGCTTGAGCCGTGCAGTGGAGCGCGACGCGCGCGCAGCGACCGACAAAAGTGGGACTAGAGCGGCACACGAGCCAAATACAAGAAAAGAGCGGAAGAAGGTTCAGGTGCCGATGCCATCTTAGTGACTTAGACGCGCTCCCGCAGGGTTCACGTACCGCGAGATTGCGCGGAACTGGCTGGTTGTCTATAATCAGCATTGCAGCGCGTCGTGTGCGTCCGCGACGCCAAGCTGGGTACTATTTGCGCGCCTCGCACGCGCTTGTAATCTACGCTACGGTCCTATGGCGTCCACGACGGTGGTGCACACTCAGAACTTGTAGGAAACGCAAGAGCTTGAAGCGTATTCTATCCACTACCAAACCATGCTGCTCCGTCGGACGTTACGACAACGGAGAGGGACAGAGCTAGACTAGGATTGCACGATGCACCTGCGCAAGGAAACTTGATTCTATGAATGGGGGAGACAGTAGACATTGGAGCCAGGTGCACCACGGATGACAAGGCCTGAAAGGAAAGCAACCGTCAGCCCAACACATTCAGGAGCACAGTGGTGTGAGAGGAAAGGAAACTAAGATAGGGTGAGGAAAGCGTGGACGGTATGTTTGCAAAGAGAGGTTTGCTGACCGGTGCAACGAGGTGAGTGTGAGGGCTAAGCGAGAGGGAAGAAGCTGGTGGGCGTGGGGCTGGCTGGGCGACGAGAGTTGGGTTTCAGGAAGAGGGGGATTTGCCGTGTGATTGGCTGGCGACAGCGCGTCGAGTCAATGTGGTTTCGGTTTCTCGCAGGTAGGACCAAACGAAGGGTACTGCTGGCGGGCGGTACGCGGTAGGGGAGGGGCGATTTGGATACCAGCGCTGCAGGCGACTGCTGCGATTTGCTCACTGTGTATGTACAGTGATCACCTGTGAACTTGTCGCGGAAGCCAGGGTGAACGACGCGAGCAAAATCGCACGGAGTCGTAGAGAGGAAGCGGGGACGGTCGCACTTGCAACTTGCGACCATGCGAACTGTACGCGATTTCGGTGTTGTGTTGGCAAACCTGGCTGGCTCTTCACCTGCGCCCTGACTACGACTCTATTCGTCATTGTCACAGCGCGAATAGGCCAGCCAATAGAAACCTAAGCATTCGGTACGAGCGGTGTGATGTTCGGCCGACGTGCAAAGGACCACTCAAAATTCGTCGACACCTGTTATAATGGCGAAAGGGCAGCACAGTCACCCCTGGCGACCGAGAGTCCTATCATTACTCACCTGTTTACAGTAAAACAAGACCAGCCACATATTCTATACTAGAAAATCAGACGATACATGGAGTAATGATATAGCATGATATATTAAATCTAACATTAACTATATGTAGAAAGTATAAAAAAATCTGTAGTAATTTCTGGAAAATCCTTATGTCTGTACATTTGTGGTCACATACCGTATTACTTCATTATCTCGCGTTCAATAAATAGATGTTGAGGAGATAGATGGGTGTCCTACATCGGAGCTGTCCCATAGCGAGCGTACACCCTGAATTCGCCTAGCATGCATGCCATGTGCGAACCAATCACGAGGGCACTGGGTAGCAGATGGCGCTGTTCTGTAGGCGTTATTGCCTCCGCATTAAATGTACGGAACGTGTCCTTCCTTGTAGCTTCTGGCCGCACCAAAACGTCTAGGCCCAGTTCGGCAGGCGTTAAAAAAGGCGTTAATATCAGGCTCGGGGACCGGCTACAGTGAAACGATAAGCGAGCGATCGGTTATCAAGGTTCGAGATAGGCGGATTGATGTCGAGCCTGAGCGCGTTAAAATGCCTGCCGAACAGCCCTTTTAACGCCTTGCGTTTTTAGCAATACGATGGTTCCAGGAAACCGTTTCCCCTAGCAAAGTGGCGCACCACTGATCCGCTGCATGGTGCATGGGCCGAGAGCTTACACCATGCGAGGGATCAGTGATGCGGCCAATCATATGCGAGTGGTCGAATGGACTGGCCAATCATATGATTGTTCGAAGGTGCTATTCACCTTCAACCTGACTTCCTCGAATTTCATACCCCTTCCGCGCCATCACGTTTAACCCCCATAATGCCAGCCGAACAGGGCTGCCCGTTTTTTTCGAAGGTGCACTGCAAGCGGGGGCCTGACTTCGAGGATCTTTCGAGCCGGCGTTTTTTCGAGGCCGGTTAAAAATGCTCAAACGCCCTTAACGCCAGCCGAACTGGGCCCTAATCTCTCAATTTGCTGGGGTGTGTTGCCACGAAGCTCGCTCAAACTCTCGAATCTCACAAATTGCTGCCCTGCATAACTTGTGCGCTGGCTGATGCTAGCTCTCGAGGCCGAATTGGCAGCGCACAAGTTATGCGGACATTTGCCTGGAGATGCAACACCGTGGAACCTTCACCCCGTTAAATTTGTGTGCCCCAAAAGTGGCGTTCTCCAGGCTGAAGCGTAAAATTTGGCGCAAAAAGGTTTGGCAGGACCGCGCTTATCACCAAACCTTGATAGGCAGAAGCGCGCTTATCGGGGAAGATTCTGCGGACCCAGTTTCTGGAGCCGAACCTCAGGTTTGCTTTCTTCCCGACCATGGGAGGGGCAACACTTACCAGACCCAAACCTCTCTGGTTACCATGTGTCACTCGCACAACGTACTGAGGTCGTAGGCAGCACAGGTTTGGATCGCTCGGGTCTGGGCAACCCAACCTGGGGGACTTTTGCCCCGAGTGTGCACACCTTTCTGAAAGTTGTAATTCAGGTCGACAAACTTTGCATAGTTCCTAGCGGACTGGTAGTGACGCCCCCTCCCTGCAGCGTCTGCGCCGCATGCACTCCCGGCTCCTGGTCACTGGCCTCCCTGAGACCCTGCCCCCCCTCCCGCGCTCACTTGCGCCGCCGTGCCTTCCTTGCGTCGAGGGGCGGCAGCGCGCCGCTCCTCACTCCTCCGAGTTTCCTCCGACAACTGCTCCTCTGCAGACTCTTCACATGGACGTGTGGGGCCCGGCCCCCGTCGGTGGAACGAACCAGGAGCGCTACTTCCTGCTGGTGGTTGACGACTACACACGCTACACCACAGTCTTCCCCCTTGCGACGCAAGGCGGATGTCAGTGGTGTCTTGGTCCCCTAGATCCGTGCTACTCGTCACCAGCTGCGCGAGCGGTTTCGGCGGGACTTTCCAGTCCTGCGTCTGCACTCTGACAGGGGTGGTGAGTTCTCCTCTGGCGTCCTTGAGACGTTCTGCCAGGATGAGGGCATCGCCCAGTCGTTCACGCTTCCGGCCTCTCCGCAGCAAAATGGGATCGCTGAGCGTTGCATTGGCCTGACGCCCATAGCTTAGAAGCTACACACCTCACATGTCTCCACCTGTGATCGCTTTTCCGCGAAATTTGCTTCCACCATTCTTCGCATCCTCTATTCCTCCCGGAGTTACGACCCGTCGCCCTAGCTTTCCACACAAGCCTGAGTCGAACTTAGGGGTCGCGTCGCGGGCCATGCTCACCCCGTAGCTTAGGGTCACCGCCCTCTGCGTCGCTGAGTTCTGTTCAATTTACAAAGCGGCCATCGCGGCCAAACTGCATCGTCCGCACTCACTCCCCTTCCGTCGCAAACGCTTAGTCCCTCCCGTCGCCCACGCGGAGTCCCCTAGAACAAGCGCGCTCACTCCCTTCCGTCGCCCACGCTCACTCCCCTTCCATCGTATACGCGCACACCCCTCCGTCGCCCACGCTCACTCCCTCCCGTCGCCCACGCTCACTCCCTCCCGTCGCCCACTCTCACTCCCTCCCGTCGCCCACGCTCCCTCCCTTCCCGTCGCCCACGCTTCCCGTCGCCCACGCTCCCTCCCTTCCCGCCGCCCCACGCTCCCTCCCTTCCCGTTGCCCACGCTCACTCCCTCCCCATCGCTATCGCTCAATCGTACCGTCGCCCACGATCAGTCACTTCCGTCGCCCACGATCGGTCACTTCCGTCGCCCACGGTCACTCCATCCCTTCGCCTACGCTCACTCCCATTCCATCGTCTATGCGCAATCCTACGCGACCCCCCGCTCGTCGCACACGGCCTATTCCCTCCCGTCGCACACTACCTCACCCATCTCCGCCTCACCCATCTCCGCCTCAACCATCTCCGCCTCACCCATCTCCGCCTCACCCATCTCCGCCTCACCCATCTCCGCCTCACCATCTCCGCCTCACCCATCTCCGCCTCACCCATCTCCGCCTCACCCATCTCCGCCTCACCCATCTCCGCCTCACCCATCTCCGCCTCACCCATCTCCGCCTCACCCATCTCCGCCTCACCCATCTCCGCCTCACCCATCTCCGCCTCACCCATCTCCGCCTCACCCATCTCCGCCTCACCCATCTCCGCCTCACCCATCTCCGCCTCACCCATCTCCGCCTCACCCATCTCCGCCTCACCCATCTCCGCCTCACCCATCTCCGCCTCACCCATCTCCGCCTCACCCATCTCCGCCTCACCCATCTCCGCCTCACCCATCTCCGCCTCACCCATCTCCGCCTCACCCATCTCTCCCATCTCCGCTTCGCCCCAGCTCCGTCCGCACGCACTTTCTCTCGTCGCGCGCGAACAACTCTCCTTCCCGCCGCCCACGCTCTCTTCCTCCTGCCGAATTCCGCCTCACCCCATTCCGCCCCCACCCCATTCACCCCCACCCCGTTCCGCCCCACCCCGTTCCGCCCCACCCCGTTCCGCCCACCCCGTTCCGCCCCACCCCGTTCCGCCCCACCCCATTTTACCTCCCCACCCCATCTCCGCACGTCCGCCCTTTTCGTATTCTCACCCCAACTCCTCTCCTCCCCATCCAGCGCATGCAGCGTATGACAAGGCAGAGGAGCATTTCCAATGTGCAGCGCCATCCCTCACCTCCCCATCCCTGCGTGCTGCTGTAAACGATGCGGAAACCCGCACTGTGTCCCCCTCTCCGTGTCACCATCCCCGCCTCTCCCCCGTCAACACCACCCCATCCCACGCCACCAGGACGGGGTTGACGCGGGGCAGAGGCGTGGGGCATTGCTACCTGCCGCAACACCGCTGTCACGGGCTCAGCGTCGAGCTGAGTCGGAGGCGCCGCGACGTCTCCTCCTCACCCCATCTCCTCCTCACCCCATCTCCTCCTCACCCCATCTCCTCCTCACCCCATCTCCTCCTCACCCCATCTCCTCCTCACCCCATCTACTCCTCACCCCATCTCCTCCTCACCCCATTTCCTCCTCACCCCATCTCCTCCTCACCCCGTCTCCTCCTCACCCCATTTCCTCCTCACCCCATTTCCTCCTCACACCATTTCCTCCTCACCTCATCTCCCCATCCTCATCTCCCCATCCCTCATCTCCCCATCCCTCATCTCCCCTTCCCTCATCTCCCCTTCCCTCATCTCCCATTCCCTCATCTCCCCATCCTTCATCTCCACATCCCTCATCTCCCCATTCCGCCCCACCCCATTCCGCCCCACCCCTTTTCGCCATGCCATCTAACTTCCCATCCCCATTTCGTCGTTTCCCCATCCCTCCTTTCCCTCTCCCATCATTCCCTCTGCCGACTTTCACCATTCCACCATACGGTCATACCCCATCCCGCGACCTCCCCGTCACCTCCACCCCGTCCCCTCTCCTCCCTGCTTCTTCCCCTCTCCTCCCTGCTTCTTCCCCTCTCCTCCCTGCTTCTTCCCCTCTCCTCCGCGATCCATCCCTCTCAATACCCATCCGCTCCTCTTCCCATCCATCCTTTCCCCATTGATCCTCTCCTTATCCCTCCTCCCCCCTTTTTCGTTTTCCGGATCAAACTTCTTCCTCCCTGCATCCCTTCTTCTGTTCCTCCATTCATTCGGGCCTTCCCTTCTTCTGTTCCTCCATTCATCCGTCCTTCGTTTCCTCTGTTCGTAACTTCATGGGTCCCTCTTCCTATCCCCTTTCCCTCTCACATCGTCCTGTCTCCCCCTTTCCCTTCTCCCCTGCTTCCCTCTTCCCCCTCTTTCCCTGCTTTCCCCTTCCCATCGCTCGTATTCTCTCCCTCTCCCTGGCTATTGCAGTGACTACACTGATGATTTTTCTGGTACTGCAACTCGCTCAGAGGCCCATCATCCCATGCCATTCTCGTAGAGAATACAGTTCCCCTCGTTTTTTTAGAGGACTTGGAAAGGGTACAATCAAAAGTATCGTGCACATGCCTTTCTGTACCCTTTCTGACACTTTAGTGTACATGCGTCTTGGAAAAATGTCTTGCACTGCAGAAACAAAAGTACATTACAGTATGTGCCTTTGAGATCCATCTCTTCAACAAAAATACAGTATCATGCATGCATACGACACACAAGAAACAGGTGGTGGTATGGTGCAAAAGCTTCGACTAGATGCACCTCAGCTTGCTCCTCTGCTTCACCACTGAAAAATAGGGGAGTGGGGTAGGCAGAACGATTCGTGTGAAGGAACATGGGGGAGGTGGTGTGAGGTGCATGGGAACAACGGCAGGGGAATCCACACAAGCGGACATGCATGGGAATTAGAGGACGGAAGGCGAGGAGTGAGGGGGAAGGGCAGGGCATGAAAGGAAGGGAAGGGTTGAGAAGGGCTGGGGAAGGACAGGGCGGAGCAGAGAGGAAAAGGCAGGGATGGGGAGGGCAGGTGGGAACAGGGCAGAGGGTGGGGAAGGAGGGCTGAGGGTGGTGGGAAGGAGAGTGAGAGTGCGAGAGGACGGAGGGAGAGAGTGCAGGAGGAAGGAGAGTGAGAGTTCAGGAGGAAGGAGAGTGAGAGTGCAGGAGGAAGGAGAGTGAGAGTGCAGGAGGAAGGAGAGAGAGAGTGCGGGTGCAAGGAGAGAAAGAGAGTGAGGGAGGAGGGAGAGAGAAGAATGGGAGCATGAGGGTAGGAAGGAATGTCAGAAGGTGGGAAGGAATGAGAGGGTGGGAAGGAAAGAGAGAGGGTGGGACGAAATGAGTTAGGGTGGTACGGAATGAGAGAGGGTGGGAAGGAATGAGGGAAAGTGCGAAAGGAATGAGAGATGGAGGCAGAACAGAACGGGAGAGGGTGGGCAGAACAGAATGAGAAAGGCTTGGCCGACGCGCAGCGCCCGCACTTGCGACGGGCATTTTCCCAGAGATCGAGGGTGTCGAGCATGGGAAATATGAGGGGAAGCACGGAAGGGGATGGGGGGAAGCACGGAAGGGGGATGGGGGGAAGCACGGAAGGGGATGGGGGAAGCACGGAAGGGGATGGGGGAAGCACGGAAGGGGATGGGGGAAGCACGGAAGGGGATGGGGGAAGCACGGAAGGGGATGGGGGAAGCACGGAAGGGGTGGGGAAGCAGGAAGGGGATGGGGGAAGCACGGAAGGGGATGGGGGAAGCCGGAAGGGGATGGGGAAGCACGGAAGGGGATGGGGGGAAGCACGGAAGGGGATGGGAAGGGGGGGGAAGCACGGAAGGGGATGGGAGCCGGAAGGGGATGGGGAAGCACGGAAGGGGATGGGGAGCACGGAAGGGGATGGGGGAGCACGGAAGGGGATGGGGGAAGCACGGAAGGGGATGGGGGAAGCACGGAAGGGGATGGGGGAAGCACGGAAGGGGGATGGGGGAAGCACGGAAGGGGATGTGGGAAGCACGGAGGGATGGGGGAAGCACGGAAGGGGATGGGGGAAGCACGGAAGGGGATGGGGAAGCACGGAAGGGGATGGGGGAAGCACGGAAGGGGATGGGGGAAGCACGGAAGGGGATGGGGGAAGCACGGAAGGGGGATGGGGGAAGCACGGAAGGGGATGGGGGAAGCACGGAAGGGGATGGGGGAAGCACGGAAGGGGATGGGGGAAGCACGGAAGGGGATGGGGGAAGCACGGAAGGGGATGGGGGAAGCACGGAAGGGGATGGGGGAAGCACGGAAGGGGATGGGGGAAGCACGGAAGGGGATGGGGGAAGCACGGAGGGGATGGGGGAAGCACGGAAGGGGATGGGGGAAGCACGGAAGGGGATGGGGGAAGCACGGAAGGGGATGGGGGAAGCACGGAAGGGGATGGGGGAAGCACGGAAGGGGATGGGGGAAGCACGGAAGGGGATGGGGGAAGCACGGAAGGGGATGGGGGAAGCACGGAAGGGGATGGGGGAAGCACGGAAGGGGATGGGGGAAGCACGGAAGGGGATGGGGGAAGCACGGAAGGGGATGGGGGAAGCACGGAAGGGGATGGGGGAAGCACGGAAGGGGATGGGGGAAGCACGGAAGGGGATGGGGGAAGCACGGAAGGGGATGGGGGAAGCACGGAAGGGGATGGGGGAAGCACGGAAGGGGATGGGGGAAGCACGGAAGGGGATGGGGGAAGCACGGAAGGGGATGGGGGAAGCACGGAAGGGGATGGGGGAAGCACGGAAGGGGATGGGGGAAGCACGGAAGGGGATGGGGGAAGCACGGAAGGGGATGGGGGAAGCACGGAAGGGGATGGGGGAAGCACGGAAGGGGATGGGGGAAGCACGGAAGGGGATGGGGGAAGCACGGAAGGGGATGGGGGAAGCACGGAAGGGGATGGGGGAAGCACGGAAGGGGATGGGGGAAGCACGGAAGGGGATGGGGGAAGCACGGAAGGGGATGGGGGAAGCACGGAAGGGGATGGGGGAAGCACGGAAGGGGATGGGGGAAGCACGGAAGGGGATGGGGGAAGCACGGAAGGGGATGGGGGAAGCACGGAAGGGGATGGGGGAAGCACGGAAGGGGATGGGGGAAGCACGGAAGGGGATGGGGGAAGCACGGAAGGGGATGGGGGAAGCACGGAAGGGGATGGGGGAAGCACGGAAGGGGATGGGGGAAGCACGGAAGGGGATGGGGGAAGCACGGAAGGGGATGGGGGAAGCACGGAAGGGGATGGGGGAAGCACGGAAGGGGATGGGGGAAGCACGGAAGGGATGGGGGAAGCACGGAAGGGGATGGGGGAAGCACGGAAGGGGATGGGGGAAGCACGGAAGGGGATGGGGGAAGCACGGAAGGGGATGGGGGAAGCACGGAAGGGGATGGGGGAAGCACGGAAGGGGATGGGGGAAGCACGGAAGGGGATGGGGGAAGCACGGAAGGGATGGGGGAAGCACGGAAGGGGATGGGGGAAGCACGGAAGGGGATGGGGGAAGCACGGAAAGGGGATGGGGGAAGCACGGAAGGGGATGGGGGAAGCACGGAAGGGGATGGGGGAAGCACGGAAGGGGATGGGGGAAGCACGGAAGGGATGGGGGAAGCACGGAAGGGGATGGGGGAAGCACGGAAGGGGATGGGGGAAGCACGGAAGGGGATGGGGGAAGCACGGAAGGGGATGGGGGAAGCACGGAAGGGGATGGGGGAAGCACGGAAGGGGATGGGGGAAGCACGGAAGGGGATGGGGGAAGCACGGAAGGGGATGGGGGAAGCACGGAAGGGGATGGGGGAGCACGGAAGGGATGGGGGAAGCACGGAAGGGGATGGGGGGAAGCACGGAAGGGGATGGGGGAAGCACGGAAGGGGATGGGGGAAGCACGGAAGGGGATGGGGGGAAGCACGGAAGGGGATGGGGGAAGCACGGAAGGGGATGGGGGAAGCACGGAAGGGGATGGGGGAAGCACGGAAGGGGATGGGGGAAGCACGGAAGGGGATGGGGGAAGCACGGAAGGGGATGGGGGAAGCACGGAAGGGGATGGGGGAAGCACGGAAGGGGATGGGGGAAGCACGGAAGGGGATGGGGGAAGCACGGAAGGGGATGGGGGAAGCACGGAAGGGGATGGGGGAAGCACGGAAGGGGATGGGGGAAGCACGGAAGGGGATGGGGGAAGCACGGAAGGGGATGGGGGAAGCACGGAAGGGGATGGGGGAAGCACGGAAGGGGATGGGGGAAGCACGGAAGGGGATGGGGGAAGCACGGAAGGGGATGGGGGAAGCACGGAAGGGGATGGGGGAAGCACGGAAGGGGATGGGGGAAGCACGGAAGGGGATGGGGGAAGCACGGAAGGGGATGGGGGAAGCACGGAAGGGGATGGGGGAAGCACGGAAGGGGATGGGGGAAGCACGGAAGGGGATGGGGGAAGCACGGAAGGGGATGGGGGAAGCACGGAAGGGGATGGGGGAAGCACGGAAGGGGATGGGGGAAGCACGGAAGGGGATGGGGGAAGCACGGAAGGGGATGGGGGAAGCACGGAAGGGGATGGGGGAAGCACGGAAGGGGATGGGGGAAGCACGGAAGGGGATGGAAGAAGCACGGAAGGGGATGGGGGAAGCACGGAAGGGGATGGGGGAAGCACGGAAGGGGATGGGGGAAGCACGGAAGGGGATGGGGGAAGCACGGAAGGGGATGGGGGAAGCACGGAAGGGGATGGGGGAAGCACGGAAGGGGATGGGGGAAGCACGGAGGGGATGGGGGAAGCACGGAAGGGATGGGGGAAGCACGGAAGGGGATGGGGGAAGCACGGAAGGGGATGGGGGAAGCACGGAAGGGGATGGGGGAAGCACGGAAGGGGATGGGGGAAGCACGGAAGGGGATGGGGGAAGCACGGAAGGGGATGGGGGAAGCACGGAAGGGGATGGGGGAAGCACGGAAGGGGATGGGGGAAGCACGGAAGGGGATGGGGGAAAGCACGGAAGGGATTGGGGAAGCACGGAAGGGGATGGGGGAAGCACGGAAAGGGGATGGGGGAAGCCACGGAAGGGGATGGGGGAAGCACGGAAGGGGATGGGGGAAGCACGGAAGGGATGGGGGAAGCACGGAAGGGGATGGGGGAAGCACGGAAGGCGTATGGGAGGAAGCACGGAAGGGGATGGGGGAAGCACGAGAAGGGGATGGGGGAAGCACGGAAGGGGATGGGGGAAGCACGAGGAAGGGAGCATGGGGGAAGCACGGAAGGGGAGGGGGGAAGCACGGAAGGGGATGGGGAAGCACGGAAGGGGATGGGGGAAGCACGGAAGGGATGGGGGAAGCACGGAAGGGGGATGGGGGAAGCACGGAAGGGGATGGGGGAAGCACGGAAGGGGATGGGGGGAAGCACGGAAGGGGATGGGGGAAGCACGGAAGGGGATGGGGGAAGCACGGAAGGGATGGGGGA